ACTGCAAAGCCACACTGTGCACGTGTTACAACAGTGTGGCTTCATAGTAAAAGAGTGCGGGTATTACACTGACCTGCCTGCAGTCCAGACCCGTCTCCCATTGAAAATGTGTGGCGCATTATGAAGCGCACAATACGACAACGCAGACCCCAGACTGAACTGAAGTCGTACATCAAGCAAGAATGGGAAAGAATTCCACCTACAAAGCTTCAACAATTAGTGTCCTCAGTTCCCAAAGGCTTATTAAGTGTTGTTAAAAGGAAAGGTGATGTAACACAGTGGTAAAAATACCCCTGTCCCAGCTCTTTTGGAACGTGTTGCAAAATTCAAAATGAGTGAATATTTGCAAAAAAAAGTTTATCAGTTTGAACATTGAATATCTTGTCTTTGTGATGTATTCAATTAAATTTGGGTCAAAAAGGACTTGCAAGTCATTGTATTCTGTTTTTATTTATGTATTACACAATGTCCCAACATTGGAATTGCGGTTTTTATTTGTCAATCAAATGGCTTCTGCGAACTGTCAACATGTTTAGGCTACATTTCAGTAAATTTATGTAAAACTATGCCAAATTTGTTATTAGCAGTCGTTGTTTGCTGTGTACTATACTGTACTGCAAGCTGTCAATGCATTGGTTTGGTACGCTATTAAATTCTGAAGGGGCATATGGTGATATGTAAACAGGGTAAGGGACATTTATTTGCAGTGGACATCTAGGAACATGATACCCTCGGAAAGTGTAAATCAATTAAATCTAATATGTGCATGATGTGTGTCTGTTTAGATTGACTGAAATACGTATGACTGATTTCTTTGATCAAATTATGGCAGTTGGGCAGTTAGGAGTTTAAAGTATCATACCTTATTTGCTTCTATTGTTCATGTTGAACAACTGGATGCTGCAACCAACCTTCCATTGTTTTTACAACACTAGAATACATGAATCACCTACAGTATATAAAATAAGGTTTTCATTTATGGAAGAAGGTACATGTTGCGAGCTTGACAGTGACGTGATGACTGATGTAGTTCTCAAGATCTTTTTAATGTACATATTTGATAACTGGTTACACAAAACAATTAGTTTATTTAGCTTGTTTGGTATGGATTTCAGTTTGAAACTTCGGATACACTGTGTGAATAAATTTAACTAGTAATATCAAACATGAGTAGCTCTGCCACTTTCATGCTATCAAAGTAGCTCTCTTGGGGGAAAAAGGTCAGAGACCCCTGTTCTAGCCAATTTATCATTCCATGTATTTTTTCTCATCCATCAGCCTGTCTTTCCATTCTCTCATTCAAGCCTTCAAAAGCATTCAAAAGTCATTCAAAAGCATCAGCATCCACATATAGTACATCATTGATCTAGTGCTTCATACCTTGGAAAGCATGGGCTTTATGTAGGTGATCTCCACCTCAGTCCATACAGCCCTGGAAGTGTCTGCCAGGCTCCATACCTTCTCCTGGGCCACATTGTTCTCGTCATAAATGTAGAGAACAAGAGCATTGTCTGCATTTCTAAATCCATGAATCACGTAGTAGAACCTCAGGCAGTATTTGTGGTTCCCTGGTAAAAAGGGACCATGAAGTCGACCAACATAACCGGGCATCGATGTGAAGCGAGTGTTTGCCAGGAGGAAACAGCCTGAGACAAGGAACATGTTTAAGAATAAGGTTGGCAGCACACGGTACAAAGTAAAATAGCCTGTCTATCATCATGATGTGGTGAGTGATGAGCTGGCGACAGTGCTGGGCTGAGAGCAAACTTAAAAAAAAAACAAAGAACAGGACAACCAATGACTTAAAGACACAATATTGCAAAGAATATATAATATACAATTAAAAGATGAAAAAAATGAAAGGATCACAATGCACACAAACTATTAGGAGACTTGTTGTGCTAAATGGGATTGTGCTCATTTCACTCTTCTACAAAATGTTTTTTTTTACCATTGCTGGTAACCATCTGGTTTTATGTTAGAGCAAGCACACACTGTAGCAGCTGAGATGTGTGTTCAGAAACACTGAGCAATGTAATGTTCCGTTGAGTCTGTGGTGCAGTGTGCCTCACCTGTTCCTGTGGTATGGTCTCCTATCCTGTAGGCATTTGGTTTGACTGAAACTCTGCTCCACACTTTAGCCTCTGCTCTCTCCTGGTAGTACAGACACAAGCCATTCTCAAAGTCACAATTGGCTATAGAGGGATTAAAGGTCGGTTCTGAAACACAAAACACAGCATTGCCAATATAAGCCCCATGATGCTCTGAGTTCCTCTCCTCTCCTCTATTCAGTATTCAGACCCTTTGTTATGACACTTGCATTTGAGCTCTGCTGCATCCTACTCCTATCAGTGGTCGTTGAGATCTACAGCATGACTAGAGTCCACCTTTGCCTAATTTGATGCATTAGTAATAATTAGGAAAGGCAGACATCTATCTATTTAAGGTCTCACAGTGGATGGTGTATGTCAGAGTGAAAACAAAGCCATGAGGTCGAGAGAACTGTCCTCAGACTTGAAAGGTAGGACTGTGTCAAGACAGATCTGGGGAAGGAAAAAGGATCATTTCTGCAGCAACTGAAAGTTCCCAAGAGCACAAACTCCAGGTTGTGGTGTGCTTTGCTTGCTCTGTAATAGGTGAAAAGAGGAGCGGACTCTTGCCAGCTAATTTCAGCCAATCAGCATGAGGTGCTTTTGCTCGTGCATGGTATAGTGTGTGCATGGGGGAGGGGGAGTGGGTGTCAATTTGGTCCAGAAAATTCCTAATGCTACTGCAGCCAAAAGGGAGGGGTGGCAGAAAAATTACCAGCTCCACCGCTTCCGATTACTGCCTATATAACTAAACAACCAGGAGAAGAAAGAGAGAAGCACATAAAAAAGGACTGTAATGTAGGATATGGTCCGTCTTACCATGCTAACTCTGAGAGACGAGGCAGTCCAAGTAACTTAAAAACAGTGCTGATTTATTCCATGAACACAGGTAAAATTAACATTACACGCTCAGGTATCTTGCACCTCCATCCTGCACGCAGGCAGATGTAAGATGAAAGCCCCTAAACCCACCAGGCCTATACATTATATCCCCTCGGTTGGGCTAGCCCCATACTACACAGAAACGTCAACCGAGATGTCTCTGTTACCAGCTTTGCAGCTGGTCATAGCAGTAGTCAAAACATGAAGCAAATCAATGTGTGTGTGTCTGTGTGTCTGTTGGTTAAGTGGTGTGTAGCTAAAAACATTCTCACACGACCTCTAGTACATGTCATGACATTAAACATAAGAACATATTATGGCTAAAGCTACAGTTATACACGTCATAATAATAATATTAAACACCCTGTCTGCTGACAGTCATCAACTCTTCTCTCTAGTTATCCTTGACCAGATGTACCCTGTAGAAACTCATAAGCATGACTAAGCATTTAACAGTCTAACTAGACATCCTATCTCCACTAAACATTTCTAATACATAAAGTATCTATCCAGTTTCTATCTGACTAAAAATACCCAAAACTAACATCAATAAGGTGAGTAGGAGACCAATGTAAACATAGCTATGTGCTGCTTTCAAAAGATGGAGAGAGTTCTGGGATTTAAAAGGGATGAAGACAGAGGTTGTTCTTTTTTAGCTGGACAAGTGGGTCAATTATTTACTACCTTTGAAAATTGTTATGGTAATCGGCTAATTTTTATGGTAATGTTACACTAGAAATTTGGGCATTATCGGTGCCACATTAGCCTGTTTGCTAAATCAACTTTTCCTGACATTCAGCTAAATTGCTAGTATACAGATGTATACAGTTGTTCTGACTTCAGCTGTAGGAGATGGAGAGTGTTGTGAGAGAATAACAGTGGAGTCTGTAGCTGGTTACCTACATGCTGTGCCCCACTCACTAGTTTCCTGACATCTCCTTTGGCACTGGCTCTTCCTCCAGTCGCTAGTATCATTGCCGTGGTAATGTGTGCTCATGCGTGAGTGAAGTGGTTACAAGCTCCTAACCGAAACAACTTGTGGATCTGTGTTCATGGTGATCAAAATGTAAACATTCTTTTGTTAGAAACGTGGACTATACCTTTAAAAGTGAGTGAATATTGAATATCTAGCCAAAGACTGGAGTTGTAAGCTGAAATCTCTCACTTTGGATCAGAATCACTTTGATCTTTTGCTCATGTGACCTCTATAGCCCAGCAGCAGCCATCTTGTTTGCCGTTCCCCACCCCCTTTCCCTTGTACACACAAACATACAACATACAGTATTTGCATATACCTTCATGTTTAGCTTAGTGTCTCCAAGTTATGTCTTGGACTATTATACTCAAAGTATTGGCTGTCCAGTTAATGTGTGTATAGTTTAGTGTTAATGCTCCATTGTCTTTCATTCTTTCTTTTCCTCTATCTGACCTTTGTCTTTTTTCTCTTCAATGCTCATCTCATTTCCCTCTCTCCTCAGCCTTCTACTTCATGTTATGTTTAATCCGGGGGCCTTGAGTGACATGTTGGCCTTTGCTTGCCCTTATACTCCCTGTTTAAAGCCACAGAAGGGCTTAGTTGGGAGTGTTGAGAATCTCTTCCTTAACTCTAACCCTTACAGCAAAATTAGTATACTCTGAAATCCAACACTTTTACAGTCACTTGTGTCCACAAGTGACACCCCAGGTTTTAAACCCACCATATTGAACAACCAGTCAAACTGAACCAACACTGAGATACAGAACATTCATTAACTGTCATCTAAACATCCCTTCTCACCTGTGTCAGTGTGGCAGAATTCAGGAGAAAAGGAGATGTCATCTATGGCCACATATCCGCCTCTGGCACTGTTAAAAGCCACCTCAAACACCACCTGGTAACATATAAAAATAAACTAACTATTAACAGATGGATAATGGGCAGTGAGCAACCTTTCACTCCTGAGAACATTCTCTGTAAATTGTTAAAGACATGTTGTGAAGTATGAGGACTGATAGATGAGCCAGCTGTAGAAGCCAGACAGTGACATCAGTGTACTGTAGGGTAAAATTCAAGCACATGAGACAGTCAGTACAGTGCTGCTTGATGGAAAAGCTCTGTATGACTCTTGGCACAAATAGAAGGTAAGGTTATACAAGCTTCTTTCCACAGAGCCAGCAGCAGACTGTGGGAGGTGATCTGGCTGAAAGAAAAGGAAAGGAAGGAAGGAAAGTGCTGTGGAAAGCCACAGAGGAGTGGGTGTATTTGAGTGTCTCTATTCAGCTGCACACATCAGAGTACAAGCACAAAGTCGACATAAAATAAGTATCACATTTGGAAAAGTGTGATCTTTCTGCACCATGTAATGAACATGAGATCATGGAAAACAAGTTGAAACACTTGAAATACAAAGAAAATGACAAGGGATTAGCGGTGTGCATTTCTCACAAACCAAGTAAACAAAAACTTCTAAAAGCTGAGAGTGAACAACAGACCAGTCACAGCATTTACATACTGTACTGTACTGTCAGAGTTACAGTTGAAAGCTGTTGAAATGAGAGAGCAGCAAATGGGTTACCCTACAAATAAGGCTGAATGATTTTTTAAGTGTGATTTTACACAAGTCCTTATACACACATTAAATAGACCCGCAAAGGTCTGCAAAGTCCAAGTAAAGTGACATTAGTGATTTGCTCCTAAACACATCAGTGTTAGAAAACAGTTGCTGAAAACATGTTAAAAGACTGAGAACTATGTAGTGCTAAATTGTGGAGTTATACCAATACAGAAAGCACAGCTCGATGACGCACTGGAACCATGCTTAACATAACGCCTCTGCCCAACACTGTAACGTTATAAATCTGGGCTTCCACAGAGCTCGATGCCTGCATTTGTTTTTTTACAGCTACAGTCATGTTTTTTTTAAAAGAAATAACATTAATGCTGCTGCCTCAGTATTAAACAATGACAAAAGGAGGAACCTGAACCTCTGAACCGACCCTACTGTACTTGTACTGCTGAGAGCAGTACCTCTGGACTACATTGCATTGTTAAACTAAAGGGCCTTAATAAAAGTATACAGCAGCACTATGTCTAAAGTGCTACTCTCGTTGCTGCCAGGTCATGCAGTATGGGAATAAATCAGTATTGTGGAGAACAAATGTCCAGGGAGCCTGTCTTAAGAAAACCTATTGTGTCTATACAGCAGTTTGTTGATATCAAACAAGCATCAACTAGTTGTCTACAAGGCTACTGGACTGCTTAGGTACAAATGACAAATGTTTCTGTCTACGTCATTCTTTGAATTATCAAAATCAAATAATCAAAAGACAATTGTTTTAGTCCTCTTGTTGCTGCACTGTACACATACAATTCAGAGAAGCAAAAAATGACAACACAATACAAGTATTTAAACCACAGTGCTCCAGGCACTATTTTCCTAAGGGTAATTCTGCACATTACATTCTACATGGAACAGATTTAGCTCTGCATGTGCTGAAGGTTTCAGCTCAGCACTGGGGAAGTTATGTTACTCACATTACTTGACAAGCACAGAAGAACAGGACCAATAATGCATTTGTCTAGTAGCTCTGAGGTAGTAGTGTGCTATGGAGAGGCTGCTGCTGGTGGCGTGTCAGTCTTGTGTTATTACACCACAGTCCACTGCTGTTATATTCTGTGCTTTTCTGGTTTTTTTGCAGTTAAAAATGGATTTATCCATTAATGCATAAAAGAAATTAGAACATGAAAAAACTTCAGATGTATAAAGTCAAAGACACAGACACCATGCTACATTTCAAGTCATTCCCAGACAAGTGGGAATGCTGTGGAGTCATTCTGCTATATTTCACCTACAACAGTAGTGTGACAATTTGCTCATTTTGACTTTTATATCCAAATAAAGTAGTTTGGAAAACCTGGAACTGTTAGGGACAGATGTGAGGTTACTGTGACCCTGACCTTTGACCACCAAAATCTAATAAGTTCACCCATAGGTCCAAGTGAACATCTGTGTCAGGGCCACTCGGTGGCCGCTGCCTCTCCTCCGTCTTTCTCTCCTCTGCTCTCTCTATCATGTGGGCTCTGCACCTCAGCTGTGTTGCATTCCAGTAATTAGCAACTGGTTTGTCATGCACACAGCTGGGGTGCATCCCGATGATTACCTTCGCCTCCTTATATAAACTTCTGGCAGATGCTCCGTCTGGGCCAGAACATTAACATAGTAACGCGGACTGTACATGTTGGTAGAATGCTACGCTGACAGACACTGTGCGTTTTGGCTTGACTCTACCACACTACCTACGCGCTACGCTCATTTACACTACACTACATATCATACATATCCAAGTACCGTACTTTCCCATGTTATGTTCTTTTGATACTTTGTGTTCTCTTTATTTACCTGCTACCATCATGTTTTTCCCCCTAGCACCTGGGTCTGCAAACTTGAGTCCAACCTGGTGAGGGGGGCTACCATAACAATCTGTGCCAAATTTAAAGAAATTCCCTCAAGGCATTAATGATGTATCATATTCATGAAAATGGGTCAGACAGATGGACAGACAACCTGAAAACAAAGTGTCTGTGGCTGCAGCTATTGCCAGCACTGAGGCATACCAACAAAAACAATATTCAATTTGTACTAAACTTAAATTAGCCAAAACCTATGCAATAAAAGTTCATAGCAGACCACAGGTTTTTAAACTGACTTCGGTTTTCATTCATTGCAGTCCATTCATCACCTGAAGCTTACCTACTCGATATAATTGTGCTAGCTCAGTTACTGACCTCCGAAGGGTATGGCACTTTGATGTCAACGCTGACCAGAGTCCAGCCAGCAGTAACATACGCCTCTGGCCTCCAGATCTCTTCATAGTGGCCCAGCTGGTCTCTGGTGAAAACTGAGAAGATGTTTCCCCGCTCCTGGTCTCGATGGTAGTAAAAAGACAGACAGCCAGCCATGGGCACCGTGGTCATAGGTGAGGATAGCTTGGCCACTTCCTGAAAGTGCTTGGCGTACACAGAATCCACATACATGTAGTGGCCTGGAGAATAGAAGATATAGATGAACTCAAAGTAGTTATGATCTGTGACAGTCACATTGATAGGATGTGTATGGTTTTACAATTTGTCATAATACTGCGCAAACAGATTTACTTATATACACAGGCACACACGCACTCACGCTGTGTTTTCATTCCTTGTGGGGACTTTACACTGACTTACATTCATTTCCTGTAGACTTATCCTAACCTTAACACATAACCACTATTTGCCTAATACCTAACCCTGACCCCAACACTTAACCCTAACGCCTAACCTCATCCTAACACCTAAACCATGTTGCCACCCTAAAATTCAGTGACTAGCTTCTGGTCCCCACAAGGATGACCAAGTCCCCACAGTGTGAGTGTGTTAACAGGTTTTGGTCCTCATGATGTAAGTAATACAAAGGCGCGCACACACACACACACACACACCTCAGTCAGTGTTCTTAAACATATTTTCGTTACAGGCTGCAGTTACCAACGTTTTAATGATGTTTTTAAGCATATAAAGTAGAGATGAAAACCATGGACCACAGAAGTCCAAAAAACTGCAGCTGCCTTGGTCTCATGGCTATGAGGAATAGATTCCACTTCCAAAGATGGTGCTCCATTCATTGCCACAATGCCAAAACCATTTCACAGCCTAGCACCCTTCCTGTGGCCTTGGGGTCAAGCCTTTTTCTGCCCTTTATTGCACAACAGGGCATAAAACAAAAGACCAAATTGTTTTTTAATATTACCAGTGGTACTGCCTTTATATTAAGAATAAGTCATGTTCATGTGTTAATTAGCTGTTGTAACTGGTTAATTTTTACTGCATGCAGCTTCAAAGAAACAACTCTCTGAAAACTCTCCATCGCTTGTCCGGTCATGGTCACACACACACCCAGTCCCCCCTCCCACAGTTTCATTTTTCATTTATTTTGATCATTTGAATTTTTAATTAAAATTCCAAAACTTATAACTGATCATTTATGAATGATTTCATGTGAATTATTTAAATATCCCAGTTGTGTCTAGAGACAGCTGTTTAAGAGTGAGAATTTCTCAACAAATACTGGAATCCACTCCTCAAATTGGAGCCTTAGTACTGTCACAATTTTTATTTGAAGTTGATAATTTAAAATATTTACTTGGAAATCTCCTCTAGCATTTAGATATGAAACCATGCAACTGTACTGTTATAATGCAGCCACCATGAGCTAAAAGTATGAAGTCAAAAATCTGTCTACATTTTCTGTAGTTGCTAAGACCATCAGCTGCAGAAATCGCATCTCAGCAATAATAACCAGTTGGGAGCTACAGACATAAACAGCTAACCACATTAGCAACCAATGGAAGCTGTATATTTAACAAAAATATGTGTTCAGAGAGTATGAAACATAGTGTTCACAGAAACAGACAGAAGGAAGAGTAGACTATGCTGAAGTGATGATTTGAAACATTTCCGTAGACATTTGGTAGTTTTTTTGCAGTGAAACAGTTTTTTTATTTAAATTATTTGGTTATTGTTACACCATAGTTTCCCTTGGGGATTAAAGGAGTAACCTACAGTAACATTCAGACAGTATATAAGCTATACATAACTGCGTGCAAAAGTATGTCCACCTCAGTGCCAATTCCAATGGTCGATACAACCAAACACATTTAGTCTCATTTTACTTTATACTTTTACTTCACTACATTTCAGTTGTACTTCTTTACTCTACTACAGCATCCCCCTTTATGAAATGTTCTCTAATACTGTAATAATGTATGTCCTCTTTAGCCTCTTCCAACCTCTTTGGGTTCCTTCTGAACAGCATTTGAATCTTGTCAGCCTTCTTCAAATTGATCCACAGGTTTTTAATAATACTGTAACTGTTGAGGCACAGCTGCTGTATATGTGGTGAGAAAAAAAAACTGCCTACAAGGAGAGGAACACCCTTCCCAGTCCACCATGGTGGAGGTTCACTAATGTTTTGGGGGTGTTATGTCTGCATCAGGCACTGGAGCTCTGCATAAAGTGGAAGGGAGAATGAATGCAGTCCAGTGTCAGATGGTTTTAAAGCATAGCCTCCAAGCAGAAAGCTAAAAATTAAGAGGCAGTGGATCCTTCAACAAGACAATGATCCAAAGCACAGAGCAAAGTCAACTCAGGAATGGTTTAAAAAGAATAAGATGATTTTACTATGGCCTTCCCAGTCTCCAGACTTAAATATCAGTGGAAACCTGTGGATTGATTTGAAGAAGGCTGTACATAGAAGACAACCAAGCAACCTGGTAGACTTGGAATGAGTATGCTGTGAAGAATGGGCTAAAATTACACCTGACATGATTCAAATGCTTCTCAGAGGGAACCAAAAGAGATTGGAGGAGGTTAGGTAGGCCATAAAGTATTAGAGATCAGTTCATAAAGGGGGATGCAAATTAATTGATTATGACATATTATTACATGTTGAGATCAAACTTGTTGATCCTTGGAAAAAGTAGCTTTAGGGTCAGTATGAAATGCAAAAGTTACTTAAAATGTCAATATTTAATGCCCTGGGAATGACAAGGGTTTGGAGCAAATTTTCAGGTAACAACTTGGTTAAAGTGCTGGTATGATCCTCCTCTGTTGTCAAATTACTGAAATCTATGTCCATAGTGTTTTTGCTTTACTTAAAAGTTTAAATTTTGCACCTGGGAAGCAAGCAGTTTTGAAACTGTGGCAAATGTGACTTCACACCTGGATGTACAATCAGATACATGAGGATAAGCTTTTATAAGGTAAGATTTCAGCTATGCATCAGCATGGCTTTATTTAGCCATTAATCTGGAGTGGTTAAGGTTGAGTCTCCCATAAATGAATGCAAGTCAATTTAAAGTCCCCCTGAGGAATGAAAACAAACATGTAAACATACCTCTAAGGTTATAGTTGGCATGGTTTTCAAGCAGATTAAACTCTGGCTCTCTTGCCACACTCCCTCCAACATACCAGTTGACATTTGGGTTCCAGCTGTTACTGTAGCCACAGAGATGATGCTCCTCAAAATTACACTCTGAAAACAGAAACATCAAAGATGACCATTATGCCTGACTTAGTCTTGCATATTTTGTGAATAAGTACAGCTTCACACTAGACCACATATCAAAAATTAAACAACTCACTTGGTATAAGGTTGATACTGACCTATGCAGTAACCAGGAACAATGTGAATTTCAAAGATGGCAACGCTGTTCCCCGAACCACGTTCAGCTCGACCTTCCAGCAAAATCTGTGGATTAAAAAAAGGACTTGTCAATGAACTGTGTCAGCAGGCAGCTACCACCGTGGCCTCATTTCATATCATGTAACTGTTTTCTTTCTTTTCTTTTATATGGGACAATGCACATTAATCAGCATTGATAATAATATGTCACTTCACATCATGTTGCAATTACAGTGGCAAGAAAAAGTAAGTGAATCCTTTGGATTTACCTTCATGAACATATAAATCTGTCTTAAACAGAAATCTTCATCTAAGTTACATTAATAAACAAGCAATCTATCAAACCGATGAATAGTAAATGTAAATGTTCATAGTGTAGGCTGGAAAAAAGTATGTGAACCCCTCGGCCAATGACATCAACAAAAGGCAACTGGAATCAGAACCTGGCAAACCTGGAGTCCACCTGGAGTTTGCATAAAGTTGGAAGGGTTACAAAGTCATCTCAGCCAATAGTCATACTGTCTACAATGACTTACTCTTACCAGAAGTGGAGGCCAGCCAAGATGGCTCCAAAGGCACAATGCAGAATGTTCAGTGAGGTTAAAAAAACAAAAAAAAAAGGAGCCCAGAGTAACAGCTTAAAGCTTAAAGGAATTATTGTAGCGTCTACCATAAACTAATCATGGTAAATGGTTGCATGGAGTATTGGGTGGCAGGAAACCACAGAAGACACTGCTGGCCAATAAAAACATCACTGCATCGGAAGTTTGTCAAAGACCACCTTGACACTCCACAACACTACTGGGAAAATGTCTTTTGGACTGATAAATCAAAAGCTGAATTGTTTGGGAAGAACACATGGCACTAGGTATGTTGTAAATAAATAAATACATAAAAAATTAAAGAAGTAAATAAGTAAATTTCATATGAAATGAAGAAAATGTAATTAAAAACACCAAAAAGTAAGCAAATGTGTGTGGACTGCGGTGTCCACATACTTTTGGCCAAATTGTGTATCTATTGGATGAAGACAAGCTGATACCAGCCTTCTCATCTGAAAGGAGATTTTTTTTTTTCCAAAAATGCTGTGTTGTCTCTTTAATATCATATGAAATCCTATTTACTATCGTCTATTTAGAGACTGTTTTCATCATGACTCCAGTGATACTACAAGTTCTATAGCCAACTTTTAATGCCTAGTTACTTTTCACCCACCCTGTACATCAGTGTCATGTTGTTGTATCACTGTACTAATAGGTGCATGTTTTAGGGCTCGTTGCAAATGTGAGCTTACATTCATACATCTTCCCACCAAGGCACCTGTGCACTGATCATTCGCCATCCAAGTGTGTGGAAGAAGTATTTTCACATTTGCATGCATTACATTACATTCCTGTCAGGAAATAAATATATAACATTTGTGTTATTTATTTAGGTGTAGGCAGTGGATGGTGGGTAGGAGTTTGGCAGAAGCCAAAGTCTTCCCACCTACCAAACACCAACAACAAAAATCACACCCCTGTACATACAGTAAGCATGACGTGACTGAAATTTGTGCTGTGTGCTGCATGAATCACACTTTCTAATGAGTTCATGTATATGTGTAAGCATATGTGTTTAAGTACATTAATTTGTGCAGCACATTCATACAGAGTGGCAGCTCTTTACAAACAGTATAACAAAATGAATAAAAGAGGATTAAAAATAATGACACTAATAATAATGATTGAATCAGAAAATTTTATTAGCTGACCAATAAATAACTAATTTTAAAACTAGAACAGGACGGAACTGGACACTGCCTATAAGGTCAGCACAAGGTCAATGTGCAGACCAGTAGCAGTTCTTTACTCTGGCTTATGAGTAATGACTGCAGAGATGTTATGATGGGTGATACATTATGGCTGCTAGCTACATACATAATCATATGTGCAAGGTCTGGAGGTATTATTGCATATCACATCAACACATCACCATGTTCATATCTGCCCACAGACAGATGGCCCTTCAGTGCACTGGATCACTCAGATCAATAATACGAGTACTAATTCCAGAGCTATAAACACTAACCTGGAGCCATAATTTAAGACAATAGTTCCATGTCATCTTAAACTATGCATGCCTTCTCTTCTTTCTTTTTGTATAAATTTTAAGAATTGTTCCTTCCAGAAATGACTGTTATGAAAGCAATGATTACTCTGGTTAATAATAACAGAGGTAGTTAAACTTAGAAAAAGGCTTAGATGACATCATTGCTTCTTTTATACTGTTTGTGGACCTGAGCCTCAAAGTCTCTCTGTATTTAAGGAGAATTAGCATTCTTCAAATTTTGATCATCAAGCAAAACTACTTATATGATACAATCCATTCTAAAAAAAAGAGTCTGCTTTAAAGAAAAGCAGACTTTTTTAAAACCATGTTTACTGCATAGTACATGAGAAACTATTACAATCAATAAAATTCCAAATATTAAAAACCTTGTTTACAAAGCTAATCAAATGTGCAGAAAAACAGATTTTTTTATTCTAATCTGCAAGTGTAAATGAATTGCACTAAGTTGGTTCCAGTCTTATTTATCAGAAAGATTCCAATTTGTTCATGTTAATGATGAATCTTCTGCGCAGACTGAAGTTAGTCATGGCGTTCCACAGGGCTCTGTGTTAGGTCCAATTCTATTCACTTTATACATGCTCCCTTTAGGCAATATTATCAGGAAACATTCCATAAATTCCCATTGCTACGCAGATGATACTCAGTTATATTTATCTATGAACCTAGATGAACCAGACATAAAGGCCTGGATGTCCTGTAATTTCTTACTTCTAAACTCTGACAAAACTGAAGTTATTGTACTTGTGCCTGAAAATCTTAGAAATATGCTAATGTTTACCATATAGTTACTCTAGATGATATAGCCCTGGCCTCCAGTCCTGCTGTGAGTAACCTTGGAGTCATTTCTGACCAGGATATGTCCTTTAAATCACACATCAAGTCTCTAGAACTGCCTTCTGTCACCTGCGCAATATTGGAAAAATCAGGAGCATCCTGTCTCAAAGTGATGCTGAAAAACCACTGCCTGTATTTCTTACTTCCAGGGTGGACTACTGTTGCTCTTTACTATCAGGATGTCCCAATAATTCCATAAAAAACCTCCAGTTAATCCAAAATTCTGCAGGAACTAGCAAGAGAGATCTCTCTCAGTCACCAGCCACATCAACCTGCTCAGTGTTTGATTTTTTTTTCTGTGTTTGCTGTGTCTTGTTGCTTTTCTTCTTTTCTCTCTCCTTTATCCACTCACCCCAACCAGTCAAGGCAGAAGGCCGCCCACCAAGAACCAAGGTCTGTCTGAGGTTGCTTCTATTAAAGGGAGTTTTTCCTCCCTGCTGTCGCCAAGGCGGATTTGTTGGGTTTTCCTAATAATAGTAAGGTCTAGAGCTTACTTCGTAAAGTGTACTGAGATGACTTTTGTTGTGATTTGGCACTATATAAATAAAATAGAATTGAAATAAAATGTAAATAATGTAGTTTCATATAGTACTGCATTAAAACAAAGTACAGCTCCATCACAGATTTAACTCCTGAAACAATCAGAGGGCAGATCTCAAATTACATAGAAGCAACTTGGAGAAAACCAGTGCAAGATTTTGGATCAAAGTTAAACAGTAAATCAACAGCATTTTGAATATGCTCTGCCTGGCCTCCATTCTTTATTGACAGAACAATGAGGAGGGCCTTGCAATTTTCTAACCGTCTAGAAATAAGTGCCCTTTTAATGCCTCCCACTGCTGATAGGAAGCATTTGGTTGAATTGTAAAACCTGCTCTGGAATGTAAGATGAAAAGAAGAAAATGTCAGAGAGACTAAATCTGGAGCCAGTTAGGTCTCCTCTCTTCGCTTCTGTGAATTACTGTGCTGAGTTTTGTGGTGGTGGTGATGGGGGGCGGTGGGTGGGGGGGTAGTGAACAACATATATTTAAACTAGAGGTTTAACTACATTTTGCAGGAGCTTGCTCGTAGTTCAGCTACATTCATAATTGCATAGTGATTCAAGTAGTTACATTTTGTCCAATTTTTGTAGTTAACTACTGAAACTACAAACAATTTTGGGCCATAAAAAGAAAGGCATGATTTTTTGGTTTTTATTTTACCCTGCTACATGTGAGAAGCTTTTCAGGATTGGCAATGACATTTTCAGTGTCAAACAGAACAACCTGTTGGATAAGAACACTGACACTTCTCATGTGCTGACTAAACAAGAGATTCTACTCTGACAACCAAAAACAGAGGCCCATTATTTAGAGCAGTGTTCAAGCCATTGATACTGTCAAAAAAAGCTGCAAGTTGAAAACTGTTTTATTTGAGATTGTCAGATGTTACAAAAATGACAAGCAGGACAACCAGTGCTCAAGTCAGTGAAATGGTCTAAAAGGTGCAAGTGAAATATTTTTCTTTACTGTTTAGTTGTTATCAGATGATACAAATCCAGATTTGTTTACAACAAAAATGTAACATTCATTGCAGTGTTGTCCTTGTGAAAAGCTCAGACAGGATTGTTTTATTTAGGACAGGTTGAGGTCTCACGTAATAAACTCAACTGAGTGGCATTTTCCTGGCATGTGACTTTTTTGGATTATATTTTGTTATAATATTATATCACATGTACATTGTCAATTTGATCTTTTTTTTACAAAGTAGTTTGAACTGACTTTTCCAAAAGCTTTGCTGTAGTTCAACTTCTTCCTGTTTTAAGTAAAGGTAACTTTCAAAGTAGCACTGAATATTGTTCTCAAACACATCACAGCTGCACAGGTCTGTTTCAATTCTGTGTTTACACAAAAACTTGACGGAAAAACTTCAGTGATTTGAGATAAGATAATCAAGCACAATAAGGAATTGAAGATTACAAACTGACCACATCGCTGGCGTCTTAACTGGGATTCTTTAAAGTGTACCTCAATAGTAGATGTGTTACAGAGGAAAAGCAGTACTGCACAGAACTCTGTGGATTTAAATGTATAGGTATTCTGGACTGTCACACACATACCCAACATCACAGCCAAGTGTGGTTCCAGGTAGGTAGGTGCAGCAGGGAAAATATAACAGCACCAGCAATTTTAACAAAGGCAGAGAGGGAAGTGTCTGTACCACTTTCCAAAAACTTCAACACTAATTAAAGAGATGCTGACAAGTTGGATCAAAGGGGATCAGGATTAAATGTGTGAAAGTCCAGATTTTTTGACCCACCCATCCACCCTGACCTCCTCTTGCCACTGACATTGTCGCTCTGTACTGTATGTCATCTCCAGCAACTTCTTCTTTTGCCTCCTTCATAATTACAGCACTATAGCCACTAGAGGTTGCCTAACAATAAGACACAACA